TGTGGATAGTTTCCTGATCACCAAGTGTTCCTCTTTCTCTCTATGTGTTTGTATGTGGATAGTTTCCTGATCACCAAGTGTTCCTCTTTCTCTCTATGTGTTTGTACGTAGATAGATACATTATTAAAGTAGGCTTATTATAGAATTCCTTTATACATATTTAATCACTTTGTAATAAACTGATATTTAGGAAAATCGAGAGGTAGATTGATATTAAAGTAGACTTATTCTAGGAAGTCCTTTATGCATATTTAATCAGTTAGCATGAATGTTTGCTCAGAAACTAAGGTAAACAGATAGATGGATATACTGATAAATAAGCTGATATTCATGTTGATAGATGGGTAGATAGAAAGATAATAAAATCAACATTTTCTAAGAAGTCCTCCTTACATTTAATCATTTAGCAATGTTTGGAAAAATGCTAAGTTAAGCAACGTCATTAGGGATTTAATTAGGAGGGGGGGGGGCAATTCTTTCGGAGGCTCAGAAACCTAGTGCCCCTAAGAAACTCTTGGATTTCTCTAATCCCCGTCACACCAAACATGCCAACCCCCGCCTTTGCCTGGTCCCAAGTCCAGGATGAGAAAGGAGGAGGGTTGGGCGCGGGGCTAGCAACTCCACCACGTAAAAACCAACCTGCTACATGTAACTGCAACAACAACTTTCCGTTGGTGAGGTGTTGTTACGGCCCTATGCTCCACTTGGAGTTTACAGGAATAAAACAAAAAAAATATGTGGCCTGACATTGGATTGTATTATATCTATACAGCACATCCAAAAAGCGTAAGAGTGGTATTTTACTGTCAGGTATTTCTAAATTATTCGGGGGAGGGCAAGTGTCCCCCCATAACTGGCGCTTTTCTTTCTGTTGTGTTGTCAAATGTACACTACTTAAAAATGCTATAGATAATTAAATTCAACAGACTTTACAATTTTTTTTTTCCAAATGAAAAGTTTTTACCCGAAAATAATTTTTTTTTTGTTAGTACAGTTCCAGACTCCACGAAACGAAAAATTTCAGGCATGTTTGCAATTGAAACATGTTTTTATTTTTTACATTTCGACCTTAAGTCCATAGGGATCAGACAGTAATTTTGTAAGTCACGAACTTTTTCACCCGGGTGGCTAGCCAGTCAGCAATCACATAGGACGAGCACGTTTGGTGGCGGGGGATTCAAACTTGCGACCCTCAGATTGCGAGTCGAACAACGCCTCAACCACTAGGCCATGCCAGGCACAATGAGACACTTAGTTTTCAAAATCATGTATTATGTGTACATCATGTTTCATCGAGAGAATCTCTTGTGCAGATTGTTTGTTAACTCAAATATTTACGGAATGATGTTAACTCAAATATTTACGGAATGATTGTTAACTCAAATATTTACGGAATGATGTTAACTCAAATATTTACGGAATGTTGTTAACTCAAATATTTACGGAATGATGTTAACTCAAATATTTACGGAATGATGTTAACTCAAATATTTACGGAAAGTTGTTAACTCAAATATTTACGGAATGTTGTTAACTCAAATATTTACGGAATGATGTTAACTCAAATATTTACGGAATGATGTTAACT